CAGCAGGAGAGTGGTGCTGGGCTTTCTGCAGAAGTTTTGTTAGATTCTGAAGTAGAAGAGATCATTGAAATGTACCTGTTGACAGTGGTTCAATACCCTCTGCTCCAACTACAGTAGTGGAACAACCTTTAACACTTCTAACAGATTTGACTGTCACCAGCACACACGACAAAAGGAACTGGCAAGGGATCAGCAACTCTGCTGTGGTATAAACTTGTGAAGCAATTAGCTCAGCAAAAAATTAATAACCTTTTAGAAGCATGCAGATGGGCACTACACAGGTGTAAGGACGTGCAGCCTCCAAGGCATGCTTCCAAAGCCATATCCCCTCAAAATAACCTCTCTAAAACTGGGAAGATTCTCAAGCACAGCTGTTGAATATTTCCTGTCAAATGTTCCAATAGAACAAACACGAGGTGGGCAACAGCCAGACTCTCAGTTGAATAAGGGTCAGAAAAAATCACTTTTTTGTAAAGACCACCACACCTTTTATTGATAAACATATCTACATAAATCAAATCATTGTGAAACGCAGCAACAGAATCTTAGGTTTTTTCAATATATTTAGAAGCACTAGCACTTCACTTACAATCAATTGTTACTTCAGTATGTCAGATTCAGCTCCAAGGCAATTACCTCATAATTCACCTTTCTGCCCTTGTCAGAAAAGTCACGTTTAATGATACCATAGTTCTTCCATTCTCACATGCATGACTGACCACTCTAGCACAAGCTTCTAAAGATTAAACATGGAAAATTTAAATCTCAGAGGTTAAGGGATAAGAACATTGTTAGTGAAAACAGAAGATGAGACTGGAAACTCTTTTGTGACCACCTCTGAGGCAGCTACTGCTCATCTAGTAATAAAGGACATACTTGAAAGACTAATTTCTCATACATGCTCAACAAAACTCTTAAGAGCCGAGCTTTTCACATTTTGGGAACAGGCAAAACATGACTGAGCACAGTCTTTTTTGAAAAGAACTCAAGGGCATTTGCTGCTGCTCAGAAAAAAAGAGAGCAAACTGCTCCAGCATAAGAAAAACCCCACCTTCCTTTTTTCCTGGAATTCTCAAGAGAGGAAGTGTTTACTTTCCAGTTCATTGTTAAGTAATACTGTTGCATGACTGGAGTTCCAAGAAACTCTTAAAACCTTGGCAGAGAATCCCGTATCACATAAGCACGTATGAATCAGCAGATGGTAGAGCAAAAATATCTCCCCCATAGGAGAAAAGATCTGCACGCTTATGAAACACAGCTCTGATGAAAATGCAAACTTTTTTTTTTCTCTTTAAATAGGAGTAGTGGACAGTAAATCCAATGCAAAGCGAGAAAAGTTTTAAATGGCAATAGTTTTCCTGTCTATTAGCTCTTAAGTTTTTCTTTCTATCAGATAATGAAACACCAATCTAAAAGTATGTAACACATATAGAGAATACCAAAATCACAATTGTGCTAGTAATCCCAATATATTTGAGGAAAGGAAGATGTAAAAGACACAAGTGACTTCCCCAAAACTATGAAAGAAATCTCTATCAGGGTTAGAAGCAGGTCTACGTGATTACTAGCACAAGTTATATGCTTTGATCATTTACCATTTCTGTCTCTTGAAAAAAAATATTATGTGATTGAAAAGATTTCATTTAGTATCAAGAAAAACAATAACAACTTCTGGTCTGGGCTTCTAAATAAATCAGGGTCACATTTAGTCTACAGGCATAATCTGCAAAAACGTTATGCTCAAAGAGTAACTCACACCCAAAATCCAGGTGACAGTAATTTCTACGCAAGACTGCTTAGTTTACCTTTGCTGCAACTGTACAGGTAAAGGACCATTCCTTGTTTTAAAACGGGCTCTTTTTAAAATTAAAGTACATCTTGTCTTACTCCTTCTGGTTTAAAACATTGGTTGTAACTGCATACTAAAATGAGATAAGCAGCATATAGCAAAAGTTCACTAACTGATTTTGCATCAAAATTTCAAAAGAGAAAAGCTAGCGAGTAATTTCCATCTTTTTCAGTGCTGCTTTTAATTGATTTTTGTTTTTCCTATACAAAATGGCAGACCTACAGGAACATAACTCTTCATACCTACTCTTTGACATGCAATGTGACTGTCAGAGGCAACCACACAAAGGATGCATATGGCAAGAAGCGTAGGCGTCTCGGACAAAGTGGGTTTTCACAAGAATTTGGAAACCGAGGAGAGAGTCCTGTATAGTATGCTAAGGAGGAGATTTAGATGAAAGAGTAAACTGGAAGATATTCAGCAGTTCCAATAATTAAGGATGGCAACTTAGGTCAATGAAAGGCCAAAAGATAAAATTCAGTAGTTCCCACTTTGCGTTATCTGAACAGTAAACCATTCCCATACGCTTCCTTGCCATTCAATGAACACACCGTTGTGTTCATGTTCTCTCTTCTTGCTGAGACTAGTGCAGTAGAAAGTGCTGAGTAAGCAGAAACTCAAACCCATGCCTAAATCCTCAGATTACAGATTCTGAGGCTTTGTCCCAATTTTTTATCTTAAAGGGCATAATACACATATTTTTGCTTACCCAATACAGTATTTCCTGCACCACTGTATGATCACTAAAGAATGAATTTAAATTCAGAATGGTGGATTTCGAAGGAGCAAGACATTCTTTTTTAACGAGTAATTTTATTCATATTTTAATGCCATTCTTGTTCCACAAATTCCTTCATGTCGTTTGGGATACTTACCATTAATGCCATTTTACGCAACAACATACAAATGATATCTGCATTTCTGGAGCAGGAAAGGGCACATCTGGCTAAACCCCTCCTCACAAATAGGAGGAGAGCCTCTCAAAATGAGCAGATGGGTTCTCTTTAAAAAACTTGAAACCGGTCAATTTTTATTTACGACTTCAGCTGAAGTTTCTGCACTCCAGCATATTTTCATATTGAGATGACATAGGTCAGTGAAGGGCATAATAACACGTTCTTTGGGACTATAAGGAATAGAGCACTTCCACATAATTTGACAAACCACAAATCAGTCTGCACACAGCAACACAGCTTCAGATATTTTCTGATTTAGAACGGACAGAAACTATGGAAACTGCTGAACTCGGACATGGTGAAAAAAAAAGCAGTCCAAAATACAAAAAGCAAAGCCTAAACCGGCCGAAACAGCT